AGGGCTGCCCCGCTACCCGAGCCCCTCCGCAGCTTTGCTCTGCGTCTTCCTGGTCTGCAGACCAGGGAGACGCAGAGCAAAGCCCCAGAGTACATGGGCGGCAGGACCACGAGGTCCCGCAGTCCGTGTACTCTGGGGCAGCCCCGTTTGTAACTGCGGATCTGACGTAAGTTGGATCCGCGTAAGTCGGGGACTGCCTGTACTTAGAACTAGAGATGTCAATGTGCAGTCGACTACCCGATTTACTGATAAGCCAGGGCTTATCAATTAATCCTGTCAACTACACATACTTCCCCGCTTGTAGCCTATGTACAGGGACAGTGGCAGCTGGCTTCCCACGAGCACCAGATCCCACAGAGCTGATTCCTGGCTTGCACCCAGTCCTGCTACCCATCATCTCTGGGTGCGAAGATACTGTCAGTGTACTCCCATTTACAGCAATTGTTGAGCATTGGGTTTCCTCATCCCAGTACTGCTCTTTGTCCAGGGGTGGGCAATAATTTTGGCATATTGTCATGAGCTGGCTGCACCCCTGGAAGGGGTGGGTCCTGGGCAAAAGGGTCAGGGCTGGGGACTAGACAACTAGAGTTGTCTGGTGCTGGAGGCTTTGAATTAAAAATACAGCAGAGTTTGCGGCTCTTGGCCCCTCTGTTACTACATTGCCTGGCAGCTTCCCAGGGTTGCTATGTCTATTTAAGGGCTTGCAGCTCAAGGTCCAGCACCTGCAGCCTGAGCCACCATCTGGAAATTTGGTGGTCAGGCTACCGGATATAAATAGAAAGCACCCAGAGTCTGCGGATCGGATCAAAATTGTTAGGCGGGCAGCATCATACCCAGCCCTGCCTTTGTGTCTGCTTCAAAGACTTTCCTTCATGCCAGCATCAGCCAAGTAGAATATCAGGTAAAAAGGACCAAATTAATAGCAAATTTATTTCCATTTGTAATCAGAGCTAGGTTTGAATCAGGAACTCCAGGGGAAAGGCTATTCTAATGCAGGACCCAGCTGAGCCAACAGTCTGTTTTCTTACATTCAATGACTGCATGCTTTCTTCACTGCTTATAGTTAGCACCTTCTTCACCACTTCTGTTCCTTTTACCATATTCAGTGTATGGATCTAGATTTACAGACTGAAGAGCAAATGGAGAATAAGTATGTAACCATTAAACAATAGTTTCTGGAAAAGTAATGGTGACTTTTCTAGAAAACTCAGAGGTACACAACACACAAAGTTGCACTGGTGTTTGGCCTGTGATGCATGGATTTCTGAAATGTGCAAACAGCTATGCTAGTGTGCAGTAAAAAAAGTAAAGACAGTCTGCTTCTGTCTGTCACAGTTCCTGTTTTTAGCTACAAATCCATATTAGACATCTAGATTAGAGAAGCTGCAATCTGCTCTTTTATTCAAATTGAACATAGATTATATGATCCTGACAAGTTAACAGGTCAGTCCCTTGCATGAAGGTACAGGTTGAACCTCCTAAATCTGGGACTCTCTGGTCCAGCAACATCCGTGGTGGAAGTGTGAGTGTGAGCCTGCTGGAAGTCCAGCGGCCAGGAGCCCCAGCCTGGCGGGGCAGCAGTGGGGCTGGATCCTGAGCTCAAATCCTACAGTGCCAGAGCCCAGTTGCAGTGGAGCCAGAGCGGAGCCAGGTGTGGGGAGAGAAGGACCTTCCCTGATCCACAAAATTCCTTCATTCAGGACTGGTCCTGATCCTGATCCTTAGGGTGCCGGATCAGGGAGATCCAAAAAATTCCTTCATTCAGGACTGGTCAGGTCCTTAGGGTGCTGGATCAGGGAGATCCAGCCTCTACTTGTGATTTATCCAGGGAAGCGCATTAAGCCTTTGTTACCCTTTTTACTCACTTCAGCTGCTGCCGCTGTTACCTTGTGACTCATTTTTTGCTGAAGCTCACTCACTAGGTTCTTGCCATTTTGATGCCGGACTATCGGGAGTGCCGGACTATTGGATGCTGGACTATTGGAGCTATACTGTAGTTCAATTTATCTTTCTGGAACATGAAAGGAGACAAGCGTTATCTAATTTGTCAAGTTACCATTTCTTTAAAGTATGGAGAAAAGGCGATTTTGGCATTAGCAAGCTTCTTTGCTTCCTGTTTATGTATTGCTGATTGTGAGAAGGATCTGTAAATGGAAAAAAAGGTCCTTCAGAATGAGTGAATTGAAAGGTTTTTCACTAATTGTTAGCAGCTTAATTTCATTATATAAAAAAACACCCACAAAAATCCCATATATAGACAAGCCACAGATTTTTTTCCACATTGAGTGAAATCTGTGGGGCATCTGTGCAACATTTTCTTTTCCCTATTATAAACTGAGAAGTAGAGAAGGATTGATACAGATTGGACTTTTGCATTCTGTATATCAGTGGAACCAGTGCAGTTTACCTACCAGTGGGGCAGAGCCGGCTTAGTGAACTGCTTGGTCTCATATGGAATCCCAGATGTTGTAGAGCAACTCTGCACTACAGTGTTACCAGCGCTGATGCTGCTGCTGTTTATCTACAGCATGTCTGGTGAAGATATGCTGTGCGGATGGGAGAGCATCTCCTGACAACGTAGCGTCAATGTGGACAATGCAAAACTTGTATCACGTTGGAAGGAGTCGTCTTTCACACCCCTGTTTGATATAAGTTAGGTCCACTTAAGCAGTAGTGTAAACCTGCTCCAGATTTACCTGAATTCCTGTGTGAATTGGTAAGAATGTATGTGGCCCAATGACTGACATCAATATCAGGAGTATTTCTCTTTTATTACATTGCTGCTGATAGTTGGGAATGTGAAATGTGGTTCCTGTCTTTCAGCACGTTCAATAAGCTGTTATTTTATTTTTATCCAAAACTTCCTTTTATTTCACCAGAAGGAGAATTAACTTAGAAGTCGATACAGAGAGCCTCTACTGGGCCAGATCCTCAAGAGTGCTGCAGGGGCTATGGTTGCTTTGTGCTGGGCTTGTTCCCTAGTGTAGGTTGGGGCGGCTATTCTAACTTATATTAGCTTCCCTAAGGGACTGTTTGGGCAACCAGGGACCTCAAGAGTTTAGGGGAGCCTGAGCTATATCCTCTGTTCTGTGACATCATACTATCTGATGGCATTTCCCCCCACCCCACGTGTTTTAGAGGTGTTTTGTGGCATTAAAGCAGCACAGAACGAGTGGATTAGAGCTTACAGTTGGGGGTATTGATTTTAATGGAGTTACTTACAGTTTATACAAGTATAACTGCTGAGTAGGACCCCAGTATCTCACATGATGCAAGCACATCAGAGTCCAGGGTTCCTAGTGTTCTGTAGAGTAGGGCACGTATTCCTCTTTCGAAAGAGGAATGTACAGTAGACTTCCCATAATCCAGAACCTATGGGACCTAGGTGGTGCCGGATTATCAAATATGCCGGACTATCAGGAGTTACTATAAGCTAGTTATATATACTGTATACATTATATACTGTATATAAAGTATTCTTAACCCTTTTTATTGTACATACTGTAATGTTTTAGTTTTTTTAAGCCTTTTTTACCTTTTTTGCTCAGTTCAGCTGCTGCCGCTGTTACCTTGTGACTCATTTTTTGCTGAAGCTCACTCACTAGGCTCTTGCCATTTTGATGCCGGACTATTGGATGCTGGACTATTGGAGTTTTACTGTAAATGAAGCAAATCGAAAGTGCAAATGAAGTGTGGATTTAAATATCCTGTGCTTCATTTGCATATTTGCATCCAGGCACTTTTTCAAAAAAGGGTTTTTCAAAAGTGAAAGTGCAGTCTAGATGGGGGTTCTTTCAATAACAACAACAAAAAAACCACACTTTTTTGAAAGAACCTGTACTCCTGAAAAAATGAGGGTAGCTGTAGTCTTCCTTGCTACAGTCTTGTCTGTTGCCAGCTTTCTAACTTTATACTAGCCCAGCTTCTTCCTCTAATCAGGCATTGTGTCTTCAGCCTAAGCCCCTCCTGTGTGGTTTATCAAACTAATTGGCCCTTTCTCAGCTTCCTTTTGGGGCTGGGGTAGGGTGAACATCCTGTCATACTGCTTAAGAACTTCTTGCCAGTACTAATGGCACCATTGCGCACCACAGTCACCTGGAGCTTTGTGGTGAGAACAAGAATCCAACTCAGATCCTCCTGGTCCTGAAGACCCTGCCAGTTGAGTTACAGGAGAAAGTCTGAGCACCATAGAACATTTGACACACAGTGGAGCAGCTGATTCCATCCAGAAGTGGTAGTGGAACACCGTCACAACAGCTTATGCATTACAATGTATTTCATTTCAGACTCCTTCTTTTGCATGTTTGAGACAAGTCCAAATTCTACAAATTAACCACTTCTGTACGGTTGTGATTTAGCATAGTCAATATAACTTCCTTTTTTTAAACACATATAACACCTATTAGTGCACACATTTGGCTTAAAGCTCTCCTGGGAGCATGGCAAATTGTTCTTATGTTGTTCCCCTCAAAAAAGACAAAGGTCCTAGACAATGCAGGATGATGAGTCACTAATTAGTATGGTTTTTCATTTAGTAAGGAAATTAAGTTTAGTATAAAGTTCATATTCACAGTTCTTCCAATATATTATTTTGTTCAATGTGTAATGGGAGGGTCTTTTGGCCAAATTACCTCTCTGCAAAGTCTTTTCTTCTTGGAAATAGCTTCTTAAAGCTAAAGGAGAAGTTATCTTGCCCATCTAACACATTGAGCATTAATACTGTAAAGTAGGACTCAGTCAAAGATTAGGACACATTTCAACTCCATTCTATTAAATAGGGTTCTTGGAATATGCTTTTCACACATAGCTTAGTATGCCTTTTACTATGGGTTGTACCCCATACTTAATACAGCCTTCAAATTCATTCAAATGAAATCTGAAGTTGTCATCTGTGGTTTGTAAAAACAAATATAAATTTTGTCCAAGTAAGAACATTAGGATTTGGCTTTATGTAAAATGGGTGACTTGGCCTAGTAGTTTCTAAAGAATAAGTATCCACAATAACCACGGTCTGAATTGGCATCTTTGATGATAATCTTACTAGTAGTTTCTAAAGAATAAGTATCCAGAATAACCACAGTCTGAATTGACACCTTTGATGATAATCTTAATATACAGAGGCCACAGAATGAACAGGCATGGAGAAAAAAGTCTCTTTTGAACCCTACAGGTGATCCTTAGAAGCCAAGTTAAGATTCATTGGTGGTATGAACTATTATGGAGAAAGCAGTAGAGCTATTCATGCTCTTATAACAGTGAAGGTTTTCAATATCCTATATGGCATACTGCACTTGCACTAAATTCACTTAAAAATATCCCAAACAGACCCTAAACCCATCAGCATCTTTCATAAATTAGTTTGCTCTGGTAGAAAGAACCAGACAATTTGCATGCTCTTAACATGCTCTTACAAAGATAACCTTGTCTGTAGTTTATTTTTTTTTAGCCTGCCACAGGAAGAATTATTTTAACATTTTGATTAGATACATAACTAGTTTGATGGAATAATTTTGAGTAAGTAGAATATTTTGTATCAAGCAAATCAGCAAGATGAAAGTGGTTCAAAGCATAGCACTTCGCATTCTGTTACTATTGTGTAATTCTTAGTGGCATATGTCTAGTTGAAACTTTGCAATGTATTTGTCAGCGTTTGTGTTAGAGACTTTTGCAAAGGCACAGCATGTAGCAAGAAAATGAAATCTAAATGTTAAATAGAGCTTTATGGATTATATTACATTGATAATATGTCTGCTGCATTGTAAACTTTTTTAAGATTAATACGTGAAGTCTGGGAACACAGAAGTGTTGTGAAAATTGTTTGCTTGTGTTTGTATTTCAGAACTGCTTTGGAACCACTACTTCTGCCTTCTAATTAGATTTTATGAGATATATTTTGGTACCTTGCATGTAATTTCTGGTTTTTGTTCTTGTTTTAACAGGCTAAAAGATGCTTTGGTTTCAGTATGCAGCAAAGCAGCTAGAAAAATATTCTTCTAGTCCACTGTGGAAACAACTGTGTGCAGCCACTACAAATAGACCAGTGTTAACTTTGTTCACCAAGGTAACCTAGCTGATTCCAGGCTCCACACAGTGCTGCTGCTTTGAAGTATCTTCCTTTTCTCTCCACCCCCCTTCCGCTCCCACGACTTGCTGCCTTTATCTGATTGAGGTAGCAAGGGAGGGGAGAGCGATTAGTTGACCATCTTGTCAGCTATCTGATAAGCATTTGCTTATTGGATAGTTGACTAGTCCTTCACATCCCTACTGTGTACTGGCTTCTGACTTCCCCTTCAACCTCCGTGCTGCTGCCGCTTTATCAGAGGCAGCAGAGAGGGGAGCAGGGGCTCTGCAGGAGCCAGTGCTCGTGGGGAGCCAGCTTTTAAGCTGGTTCCCCCCAAGCACCACTCCTGCCTGAACTCCTACATTGGTCCCTCTGTGGCAGGAAGGGACAGGTGGCTCCATGGAAGATGGCATGCGCAGGGAGCTGGGGTAAAAGCTGGCTCCCCGTGGGCATTGATTCCCGCCTCCCAGTACAGAAGCAGCAAGTGAGGCGGGAGTGCATGTAACCATTAGCATTAATCAATGAACCCTTATTGAGCCCTCAGGCTTATTGGTTAATCGTGTAAACAAATACATGCTAACATCCCTAACACACATTCCATTGATTAAGAAACAAGTGCTGCGTTCTTTCTTTTTGTAGAAAGTCTGCAAATTTGTACAGTAAATTTGTACACAGAAGCAGCAAGTGAGGCGGGAGTGCATGTAACCATTAGCATTAATCAATGAACCCTTATTGAGCCCTCAGGCTTATTGGTTAATCGTGTAAACAAATACATGCTAACATCCCTAACACACATTCCATTGATTAAGAAACAAGTGCTGCGTTCTTTCTTTTTGTAGAAAGTCTGCAAATTTGTACAGTAAATTTGTACACGTCCGGCATCTGATGG